CCGGCCCCGGGCTGAGGCGGCAACGGTTGACGCGGGCCCTCCCCCTTGCCCGGCTCTCCCCCCGAACCCCAGTGAAGCTTCCCGAAAGGACCGCCGAACGCGCCCGGGGCCCAGGCCTTTCTCGCTCCCGGCCCTGGGACTAGGGGCGTGCCGGCAAACGCGGCGGCGAAGAGCGCGGCCGGCGGAGGGCGGCTCAATGGGGAACGGTTCGGGGGGTCTTCCCGGCTTCCAGCACCCCCAAGAAGATGGCTGCCGGCAAACCTCGCGAGAGCGCACGGAGGTCTCGCGGGCGAGTCCCGGAGCATGCCGGGAAGAGACGCAAGCTCGGCGGACCGTACGGCCGGCCGGCCGGGCGGATGCCGCGCTGGGTTCTGTGTCGGCGTGGGCCGGGGCCCTCGTTCCTTTTTACCCTCTCGGTCCTCGGAATGGATAACCACAAGCGCCGGCCTATTTCACAAGGATGGAAACGGCCACGGGCTCCCAAGCATTTTCCTCGGAGAGGGCTGTGCTGCTCGTGTCGGCGTGAAGGAACGGGCAGGATGAAAGGGCTCCTTGGGAAGGCGGCCCCCCCAGTTTGCAGGTGTCCTGCAGTTGTGCGGCCTGCCTCAGTGATCTCAGCACCTCCCCAGGACAATGTTCCGCGTGTGCACTGTCCTGTGCACACGATGGATAAAGACAGCCTGCTCTGATACCCACTGAGACCTCCAGAGCCTTAGTGTCCTTAGCCAAAAGTACATGACTTGTTGGCAAAGGTCTAGTGGCCTATGGATGCCCCCCCCCAAACAAACCGTGATTTCCAACCTAGCTAAAGACAGTTTTGTTACGTTTTAAATTCTGTCCATTTAGAAGAGACTGAACACTTTTCTCCAAGAAATTATAATGTACTAAAGCAGAGCTTGCAAATCAGCATCCTATCTACCACGGGTGGTCCAACAAGTTTGATTCTATTATATAATATTATTAAGAGACTAGCAAAGACTCTAAAGTCCATAGACTACAAGTGGAATGAAAACAGTTCACGATCTAAAGACACAGCGAACCATAAAAAAAACAATTCTTGATGAGACAGAATTTATAATTTGCTGGAGTGGAGTGTCTTTTAAGAATTAACTGAGATTATACAATGCAAAGCTAGACGTTTGCTCTAAAATCATCTTAATTATAATCAAACTAATGGATAACCAAGGTATTGACTAACGTGATTTAACTAAGTAAAATAAGCCAGATATGAAAAGATAAATATGTCTTTATAGAGGTTGTTAGAGGAGCAAGGGAGAGAGAATGTAGAATGGTCGTCAGGAGTGAAAGGTGGAATGGCAGGCAAAGGAAAGGGAACTTGGGAAATAACGTCTCAGTGATGCAGAGTTTCGGTTTGGAGAGATAATAGATTTCTGGGATGGATGGTGTCCATGGCTGAACAGTTTGACTAGATCTAATGCCATAAAGTTGTACACATACAATTATTAAAATGGTAAACTTTGGGTTACATGTAAAATTTATAAATATTATATTGCTGAGAATCGTGTTTCTGTTTAAAGTCACTGTATGTATTGTTGATTAATCAATATTGAGCTGTTCACTGGCACTGTAACACGTTTAAACAAAGCTCATATAATTCATGTACTTTTCTGTGTAAAATACATCCTTTTTTTTTTTTTTTTTGGTTTTGGTTTTGGTTTTCTTCAGACAGAGATTCTATGAGTAACAGCCCTAGCTGTCCTAGAACTCACTCTATGGACCAGGCTGGCCTCGAATTCATCGAGAACTGCCTGCCTCTGCCTCCCAAGTGCTGAGATTAAAGATTAAAGGCTTGTGCCACCATCGCAGGGCTGCAACACCACCGAGCAGCTTCTTTTTAGGGACCATGGAGAGTAGCTCATTATTGCATATGGAGTACAGGGGCATTTTAAACAATGAAATCATCAGCAAAAAGCTCATAAATGAAGAAAATAAAACATGGCACCAAATAGATCACAAAAGGTCCTTGTTTCCATTGTGTGAACTATAAAAAGGAGGCAGGATGTCAGTTATGAATTATTACGTGGGGGGAGGAAATCCCCGAAGGTATCCCCTGTGTGCAGGGAAACATGCTGGGCAGATGCACATGTGGGCATGGTGGAGGTGACAGCAGCCAGTAATTCACAACCCAGACGCACATGGAGAGTGTATTATAACAGAGAGATTAAAAGAAAGATAGGAAAGAGAGAGACAGGATGGGAGAGGAGGAGGAAGAGAAGAAGAGAGGGAGGGAGAGAGAAAGAGGAAGAGGAGGAGTTTTTCCTTAGAATGAGGCTTTTATGTGAGGACACAGGGCGCCAAGGGGTAGGATTTCAAGAGGCAGATCAGAATATTAACAATGTCTCTTTGTCCAACCTCACTGAGAACATACACATCATTGAACCTGAATTTCTAACCACTCAGCCTTTGGCCACAAATGTCCACTGCAAAACCACCACCAGTGATGGTCTGGGGGTTACAGATGAATTCTAAAGAGGAGGAAAACTCATGAAAATAGAATCTGTGAATAACAAGCATCAGCAGCTGTATTTCTGAATAACAAAATGAAGCCCTATACTTCCAAGAAACTTTCCTTCCCCACGGAGAGTGACAGCAGTTCCTTCCCTTCCATGGTACACTGGAGTACCACCCTGCAGCTAGCCGCTGCTCCCATGCTCTCCTTCCTGAGGCCTTATCATTCAGTCTGTATCACTTCATTGCTTTATTTCCTTTAGACCTCTTTTCAAAGATAGAGTTTGGCTAGTGCAGTAACCACCAGCGTGGACATTTTAGAACCCAGCATTTGTGACTTCACATTTTCCAACATGTATTGGTCTTTCAAGACCCAGTCACTGTTACTGTTGTTCCTTTTGCACGGAATAATATTCCTCATTGCTCACATTCCATTTCCTTGCTGACAGCCTAGATAATGGTTCTTAATAGCCTTTTGGTTCCTAGATGTAGAAAAAAAGTTTAATTTTGTTATTTAGTTTTCTAATCGTTCTCGTCTTCAAATATGTTGAGCATCAAATTAATTCCCTTTTATGCTTCTTGACTTAGCATCATATCTGAAACAACAAAAAAATTGTTAAAGGACATTTGCTCCACTTTAAGTAGGAAAGTAACAGAAGTAAGAAACTTTCAGCTAGTCATAATAATGATACATTTTTCTACAGGTTTGTATCCTATGCTCTTTTGTCATGAGTTGTCTTTCTGCTGTGGGATGGTCTGTATGTCAAATTGCTCTGATTGGTCAATAAATAAAATACTGATTGGCCAGTGGCCAGGCAGGAAGTATAGGCGGGACTAACAGGAGAATTGATGGAATAGGGAGGCAGAGGGAGTCACTGCCAGCCACTGCCATGTCAAACAGCATGTGAAGACGCCGGTAAGCCACGAGCCACGTGGCAAGGTATAGATTTATAGAAATGGATTAATTTAAGATATAACAACTAGACAACTAGAAGCCTGAGCCATTAGGCCAAACAGTTTAAATAATATAAGTGTCTGTGTGTTTATTTTATAAGTGGGCTGTTGAACTTCTGGGGTTTGGTGGGAGTTGGAGAAAACTCTCCAGCTACATCTTTCCATTTCCCCAACCCCCTCCCCAGGAGTTAGCAGACTTAACTTCTTAATTCTTTCAGTTTTCTCACAAAGTTGGTGAATATAGTCTTATCACTTCTTATTACTCTCAATGGTGCTTTTAGAGCCTTATTTAAAAACTCAGTTTTCAATGGGGAGTGGTGGCACACACCTTTAATCCCAGCACTCAGGAGGCAGAAACAGGCAGACCTCTGAGTTTGAGGCCAGCCTGGTCTACAGAGTGAGTTCTAGGACAAGCAGAACTGTTACATAAAGAAACCCTGTCTTGGAAAAAACTGAAAACAAACAAACAAACAAACAAAAAGCCACACACACAAAAAGAAAAAAACCCAGCCTGCATTTCAAGATCCAAAAGATATTCTGTATGTTCTTCAATTTTGTCTTGCAGCTCTTCATTCTCTCTAGAGAATGCTGTCGGCATCTTTTTTTGCTCTAGAGCTGAACTAGTTTTTCTCTATAGTGCCCCTCAGTAGCCTATTATTTCCACATCGATGGGAAATGTTACTTATCATACATTATATTCCCATTAACACATGACTGAGGTTATGGCTTCCAATCCTTTTGGTCTATTTGTTATGACTATACCAGTACTGTGTTGTTTGATTTCTGCTGTGCTAATACCTCTTCTCTGTGCTTCTTTTTCAGATTAAACCTGGCTAAATGGTCTTTAATCTTTAATCTTCCAAATATTTAGACATCAGGCATAGAAAGAAAATGTATATCATTACAGCAATACAGATGAGGAAGGATCATGCCTAGCTTCTTTAAGGATAGGGAAATTTTAATGATTAAGAAAGATAACTAGTAAAAGAAACTAGCCATGTGAAACAAAGTTCATACCAGAACATTTCAGGTTTATATAGTAGCGTGTAGAATGCTCCTGATACAAATAAAAGCCAAGATCTTTTTGTTTGTTTGGAGTTTTTTGTTGTTGTTTTGTTTTCTTCTGTTTTGTTTTTCGAGACAAGGTTTCTCTGTGTAACAGCCCTGGCTGTCCTGGAACTTGCTCTTTAGACCAGGCTGGTCTTGAACTCACAGAGAGCCACCTGCCTCTGCCTCCCAAGTGCTGGGATTAAAGATGTGCATCATCACTGCCTGGCTCTAGAACCAAAATCTTTGAAAAGGTGTAAGAAGTAGAAAAATATGAAGTTGGGTGGAGAAGGAGAATGGCTATGGGTCATTTTGTGGTTGAAAAGGGAAATAAGATTTCTGTAGACTAGGCTATGGTGAGAAGCTATTGAAGAGTGTTCAACATCGTAGGGCAAATTA